CCCCATGCACCCTGCCCTGCTCGCCAGGACCTCCTTCACCTGGACCCTGACAGTATGGGCCCTCCACTGTCCATTTTCTGCACGTGCTTTGTGAACACAAAGAAAAAAATAGATTTATGTGTTGCTTAAACACACACATGCACATAGGTGTTGGGCAGCAGGGTCTGTCAGATGAAGCCCATGGGACTGGGACATCCATCTAGGGCTCGTGATTTCCAGTACCTCTAATTAGCTGATGTCCAAAGGACCTGGGCAGAAATAGGATTTGCTTCGAGTCACCTCTCTGCAATATGTGGGTAACGCCAATTCCCCCATGTGCTGGAAGAGAGACCGACGGCTCACCCGAGTACCTGCACAGTGCTTATTCTGAGCAAAAAGCAGAACTTTACTTGTGCAGCCACTGCCAGGAACTGGAGTATAGACCTCAAAACAAAACTCTGGACCAAGACTGCTGCCAGCTGGGCTATTTGCCCACACAGAGCAGGATTTGAGAGGCCAAGTCAAGTGAGTCCTGAGCTGGAGCCCAAGCAGCAGGGGCTGGGGCAGCTTCTGCCAAGGCACAGAGCATGGGTCAGTCCAATTCCAACAGTGCTGGAGAAACACACTGAATCAGGTCTGCCAGAACCAGTTCTCTTCACTGAGGGAGCAAAGAGCCTTGCTCCCACATGAAGCCACCCCAGGGAAAGATGAGCACCCTAGGTGAAGGTCTTCAGACTAAACCCATCAGAGGTGGCAAACAACACCACAAGCTTCGCACGGTCCTGCGATGTCCATGTTCCTCATCTCCCCCATCCTGCCACTGCCACAGAATTAAGGTGTGCCTGGAGCTGGGCTGGAAACCCAACCCGTCACCAACGCTGAGAGCAGCGGGCAGAGGAAGAGCCTGGGGCAGGCTGGGGTCTGGCAGGGGCAAGGGTGGGGGATGCTTCAGCCTCCAGGATGCAGGGAGATAAATGGCCAACGTCATGGTCACTATCAGTAGCACCCAACCTTCATGTTGAATGACAAGGAGGAAGAGCTTCGCCTGGCCCTGGAAGGAAAGGGAGAGATAGGGAGGGCGGCACCGCTCTAATGGGGAGAGGTGGGAGTATGAGTTCTGCTGAGTGCCCGCCGCTCTCGGCCTCCTCCTTGAAGACCCCTTGCCCTGCGAGCATTGCCTCCAACATCTCCGTCCCCTCTTCTGTCCCCAGCACGGTGCCAAGCAGGGCGCTTGTACTTGAGTTAATGACTGGAAAGGGGAGACTGAGGACATGCCCAGGGCCTCCTGGAGGGACGCTGGGACCTGTCAGTAGGAGCATGCTTTTGAAGTGATATATTTCTCACCAGGGTTAAGGGGAGTGAGGCCCATTAGTCAGGAGGGACAGAAACATGCTTCCTGCCACCTCAGCCTCTCTCTCTGGCAAACCCGGGAGCATTAGGTCCAATTAGCCCCTGGCAAACACCCCAGGGGTGGGTCCCTCCGCAGCATCCCCAGGCGAGCAACACTTCCTCAGAAATCAGTGCTAATGAGTCACTGTGGCTAAATGACATGACTTAAAGCAGCAGCGAAGGCTCCTGAGCTCCCGTCGTACCTTCTCCAAACTGAAGATCAAAAAGCCAGCGGTGGCCTCAGTGCCCCAAACACAGCACTGAGATGGTCCTGCAGTGACTGTCCCCATCTGTCCCCAGGGGAAGCCCCTTCACGTGGGGACAGAATCCAGCCCAGAAGGCTTTACCCCAGTGTTTGCATTTTTTTTGGTACTTTCCTTGCTGGGCACCATCTCACAGGGATGCACAAACCCTATGAGAGACTGGTGCAGGAGGAAGCGAGTTCTTGGCATCCACCACAAGAAGCCGTGGGGCCTGGGAAGGTGGTGGAGGGGGCAGACACCCACCCAAGCACCAAGAGCTGCTCCAAACTGACCTGCAGTGGTACTTTGGCCACCTTTCCAAAGCCTTCCCTGAGCTTTTCTAGTACCTTTCTAGATTTCTGGAGGTTTTCTGGACCTCAGGTGGTCACAGAGCAGCATCCTCAGCAGCTTGATTGGTAAACTGAAGAAATATGTAGTAGTTAGAAAAAATCCCATGTATTGGATCATGCTACAGCGAGGACACATCATTTTACTCCACAAATTCTCATAAACTTGCCGTGGGAGGACCTCTTGTCCTTGTGCTCCCTAAGCAAAACCAGCCTGAGCTAGACACATGGGACCAGCACCCTCCCAAGCTGCGGTGTGGCTGGAGGAGGTTTATTCTTCATGAACTTACAGAGCCTGAGCACACGTACCTGAGCAGCTGCCCACTGCACGAGTAGCTGGGAAGGGCCTGGGCACTCTGCAGCAGTGCAGGCTCCGATTGCAGAGCTCAGTGGGTGAAGTCCCCCAAGGGAAACCCCCATCTACTGATACCAAATGCAGGAGCAACCAACAAGCCCCTCGTGGCACAGGCAGTCTTCTCTCCAGAGAGATGTGCAAACAGGCTGAAACCCTTGGAAGCCACTTACCACCGTGAGTCCTGCAGCCAAGGGAGGAGCTGCTTCCCAATCATCAGCTCTCTGGCGAAAGGTTGATTTGCACTTGCTAGAAAACACTCCTCATGGTTGTTCTATCCAGAGGAGCAGCATGTCTTCCCTTGAGCACCATCCCACTGAGCTGCCCCTTCCCGCTCCCTTCTCAGCTCGCAGCATCTCAAGATTTACAGCATGGCTGTCACGTTTCCTCCTTCACGCTGCTAATCCATTTGCTTCACCCTTTAACCAGTTTCCATCTCTAGTGAAGCTCCTCTGACTCCTCTTCCCCCTCCCCTGGACTCCTGTCCAGAACATTATCTCCAGCAGGAAAATACAGAGCAGCCGCAGAAGAAAGCCAAGACGGTGGATGCTTTTCTGCGTGTGTTCTCAACCCTAAACCACACAGTTCCCACGTGCGTTTAGGCAGTGGAGAAAACACTCAGCGAGCGGCAGAGCCAGGGAAGCAAGGACAGGCCAATTCCCAGATGTTCCTCCTGGTGTCCCCAGACTGGCACACATGGCCTTTTTCTTCCACAGCCATCAACAGCTCCTATAAAAATCTGACTGCCCAAGTGTAACCTTACCACGCGGCCCCAGAGTAGCAGCTCAGAAATGAGTTCGGGGCTATCTGAGGTTTTTACATTTGCTTGTGCCAAAGGAGCTCCAGGAAACTTCACTGCTGGAGGCAGGAGTGGTCTTACACACACAAGAAAATCATTTAGCACAAGAATCAAGTCTCCTGGATGGTGCCCCAGGCAGTACATGGCCCAGTGGAAACTGCTCTGTGCATACAGATTTACACAGCCACACTGAGCACCAAACCTTTAGGAAGTGCCAGGAATATACTGGCTACCCTGAAACGTCTGTTTTAGTATGAAAGGCTCGGCAAAAAGTCCTATGAATAGAAGCAGACTGTTCACAGCTCGGCCAAGGCATCCATATAGGACTTCAGGTCTAAGCCCATTGTTCCCAGCATCTCTACTCAGACTCTAGAAATCTCCCAGCAGTACCTGGCTGTCCCACAGGTTGCTGAATGACCTGAAATTATTTTTCGTTTTTTCTCCTCCCAATGTCCTCCCCTCAGCACAGTATTTTGTAAGACAACACAAGGCATTACTAACAAATGACCTGAAAAACACCACATACCTCACTGATTGGCTTCAGTAGAACATGCAGAAGTAAGGGATACAGGTACTCGTTCCAAGGGAAGGGATTCCAGCTCCAGAAAGACTCACACAATGTACATTTGTTCAGCTTTTGTTTCTTGCTCCTCAATACCAGATCTTGCTTTGAATGACCATGGGATTGGAGCAGTGATTCCCTCTTTGATTCCAGTTCTCCTGACAGTAACATTGTGTACAGTCATTTCAGGTTAATTCTTGGCTCTGCTCCATGGGAGAACAGATCTGGATCATGCTGAGAACTGGGAGCTCTGATCAGCACCCTTACTGAGAGAGCATTTCAACTTCAGGGACTTCTGGACTGAAGCCAAGGACTCAAAATTGGCTTTCAGTCCCATACCTCTGCTCTGTATTGCTTAAGCTTTGCAGAGACAAAGGCAGACTACTGCTACAGAAACAGTCACCAAAATAAGCCATCTGCTGGAAAAGCTCCCAGGCACTACATGCAAGATTTGACTTCCGTTATTACCAATGCACATGAGCTTGTGGTATGTTCACATGGAGCAAAACATTCCCAACAGACATACAATAAAAACCTCCTTCTGTTGAAGTGCTGTTTCAAATGATGGAGCTTCCCCCAGCATTTGGCTTACAGCTGACCAGGGCTGCAGTTTCTGGCCCGCTGGTGATGCACCCTTTGAAGGGTTACAGTCCAACAGGTGAAGGGCTGGTTGGCCTGACAGTGAAGAACGCTCGAGGCACATTCTTTCCTTCTGACTGCTGCTCATTCCATACTCCTGACTGTAAATCCCCCCCTTGGCTAATGATGCACATCAGTGTAAAAATTTGCATGTCTGGATTCACCTCATCTAGGCCTGTAATGTATTTCCAGTTGCCTGCTCACAACAGCTATTATGGTCATATTTGGTGAAAGCACACATTTAAAAAAAAAAAAAAAAAGGGATTCTGTGAAACGAAGAGAAACATGCCCCATTTCCCCATCACTAACACCCAGAGCCCTTCTGTCAGCCCCACACTGTCAAACGAATACAGGGATGAGCAAAGTGGAAGATCAGTGCAAAGTCATTATCACAGAGATGGTTTGGAAGCAGATCACAGCTGCTGGCAAGCAGAGACCTGCCCTCTCTGTAGCACCAGTGCTATGGCTGGGACAGACTGGAGTTGGTGACCTTGCTCAGCCTAAACGAGTGCTAGAGGAAGCAGAGATGCCCACAGAACCCAATGACTCTACAGAAAAACAGAGTCAATCAAGCTTTGCTGGAGGAAGGTGCATGACTTGGGTCTAGTTTTTAACATCTGGGCTGAGTGGAAAAGAAGGTTGTTAGGCTTCCTTTTTTTTTTTTTTAAAGCAGCAAGTTTTCTGTCAAGAATTTTTAATATATTTATTTGAAAACAAGGTTTTGTGAAAGAGTACACTAAATAGCATATATCTGTTCTTCAGCCATAAAACACGAACTATCAGCTTTAGCTCAGCACAAATTGGGGATGCATGCACTGAACAGCAGATCTTGATAGGAAGGTCTTCATGTCTGTCTTTCTGATATCAAGCATAGTGTCTTCTTTAGAGGACATGATCCTGGAGGAAGGGGAGAGAAAAAACAGAAAAGTAAACTTAAAAGTAACTAGGGCTTCTTGTGGTTGGCCCCACACACTCACCCAAGCCTGCCGCTGATGCAACACATACAGTTTTTAGCATGGAGTTTGTTTTCCTGCCCATCCATCAATTCAAGTGCATAATCTTTGCTCTTGGGAGCACTGGGACATGCCAGCCCATATTTGGAAATAAAGCAACTGGGTTTCTGCCTCTCAGTGAGAAACTTGCACATCAGTCCAGGCACTTTAACCAGGGTACCTGAGAACTGCACCATTCAATTGCCTGGAAGAGCTCTGCAAGCATCGTTATGTTAAGCCCAGAGAGCACCACAGAGCCCATGGCTGGAATGTCTTCAAATTCTTTTAAGAACTGCTGGAAAGACAAGACAACCCCAGAAAGCAGAGAAGATCTCTTTCGACCAGTCCTGCCACACTGAGGGTCAAGTATATGACAGCTTTGTTACATAAACCACTTGTCCCTTTGGGGCCATCTTTCATGAGCTGATTATTCTCAGCTCAGCTGTTGCCTGTGACCTCATGCACTGCTCTACTGCAAGGCCCTACTCAAGAGTAGCCAAGCCTGCAAGATTAGAGACCAGATCCAGTACGACTGGGTCAGACCCAATCCCAAAGAATGAATTTCTCTTGTATTGCTGCCAAACCCTTCAAATCAGGATAGAGCATGTTTCTGAATCTGGTGCAGAAGCCGCCTAAGAGCTAACTGCTTCAGTGGATCCAGAGAAGCTTTTCCTTCATTGAGATTAATACAGTTGACTGCAGACTACACTGTACCTCATGTCTTAATCATCGATGTACTCAAAGGGCTCTGGTGGTTCAGGTTCCTGCTCCTCTTCCTCAATCTTCGGACCATGAGCTGCCACAGGTTCAACGAGCTCCTCCATATCCTCACTGGTATCCTTCAGAATGATGATGCCTCCGATGGAAAGCTGCAAGACAAGCGCAGTGAGCGTTAGAGCTGCTCACCTCTGCCTCACAGTGCAGTGTTTGTGGCCACAGTGTTTATTCTAGGCTGTATGAGACACCTCAGCAGGGGAGAGTTTCAGAGAGTAAAGCGTCTGACACCCACCCGGATCCCTGCCTGATAAAGGGATGGAACAGACAGAGCCTATCCAGGCTGCCTTTTGTATTTCCACTAAGTCTCAGTTTAATAGAAAATGGCACCTAGATTCACACCTTTACCAGTCCCAATCTGGGGCTTTCCACATGAAAACTAATTGAACCATAACTGCTTTATAAGACTCATCTTTTCAAGGCAACAAAGCTTAGTGAAGCCTTTCTGTGTAGCCACCTCCCAGGAGGCTATCTGAAACATAGACTAATCTGATCATCAGCTTCCACCAAGTGAGGAATCCTATTAACAGAACCTCATAAAAAAAAGGGGAATTAATTACAAAGATCACCAAACATCTTGGCAGGCTAAAGCAAGTCTCCAGGACTGAAACATGAGGTGCAAAGAGGCAGTGCTGTGTCATGCCTGGCTGGGATCAGAGCTTTGACCACAGCAGGATTCCAAGCTATAAACAGCATTTCAGAGAAGCCTTTTTACTCTGGCATTGCCCAAAGCAGAGCAAAGCTCCAGAATAGCTCCTTTTTGAGAGCCTCCTTGCTTACACACCCTAAATCCCAGCAAAAAACCTGCACTGTTCTGTTCTCTTCAAAACCTATTTATGGAGAACTGAAGGCAGGAAACTGCGCTCCTCTCACCAAGAACTTGGCTTCTTTTGAAACCGAAGCAAACAGTTACATATATCCACATTTCAGATGCATGAGTGGACACTTACTGGACCATGCAGCATATCTTCCCAATCCAAATACCAGATGGGTCACCTCCGCTTTTTAAAGGGTAAAAACTGAAAAATCCTTCCACAACTTTGCTAAAGGAGATGTTTCAAAAGGAGATAATGCAGAGAGAATTCCAATGTGCTGATGGAATTCCAGGAAATCCATTTACTAAAAACGTAACTATTTTCCTGGAAAAAATATCACTACTTCTGAACACCATCTTCACATGCGTAATTCTGGAAAAGGAGGAAGTCAAGGGTGGTATTTCTTGATCAAAAATAAAGGCCAGAAGAATTTGGCTCAGGAGATTTAGAGGTCAGGAGCAAGCTTATTAGCTTTGCAATATATTTGAGCATCTCACAGAAAAGTTAGTTACCCCTTGGGCTAATGCTAAAAGGTCTTTTCCAATCTCCATCTGACAGTCATATGCTGTCTCTTCTCTATGTTAGCAGGAGATGAAGGCACTTTTCTAAGGTCAGAGGAAACTGAGTAAGAAATCTGTTTAATGAAAAAACCCACTCCAGTTAGGTATAAATGCCACTGTAGAATAATAAAGTGCCAGCACAAGTCCTAATGTATTTCATTGCTTTGACAATGAGCCTGTGCAACATCTCAACCGATTGTAAAGATCAGGGCTCAGTCTTTATGTCCCCAGCAACGTCATTGATATTTCAAGTATGTCTGACTGATTTCTGGGTTACAGCATGTGGCATATGTAGAACAAAGAAAGAAAAATAAAGCTGCATTAACAGGGTGAAAAGGTTTGCAGCAGCTCTGGCTCTCTCCGAGCTAGAACTGCATGTGATCATTTGGAGAGAGGGACACTAAAAAGCAAGTATGACAACAGTGAAGCTGCAAATCTCTAAAACATGTTGCAGTGATGCACCAGCTGTGAGTGGCATTCTCGTGTACATGCAAAATTTCTGGGTCCTTACACACAAGCCCAACACTGGGAACACTCTGTCAATGCACAGACTAGGAAGGTGACACTTACTGGTTTGAAAGGCTGGTACCGGCAGCTCTCTGTCATAGTAAGAACTTTGAGCTGAGCAGGCATGACTCTGGCTGGGTTGTCCAGAAGCTGGAAGTTGGGTTCAGGCTCCTTTTTCTTTTCTTTTTCATCCTTCTTTTCAGTCTCATCCTGTGGAAGGGGAGGAAAACATCAACATGGTTTTAACAGTAGTCTCTAACTCTTTCACAATTCAGGAGAGTAAGGTACAACCTGCTACTCTTAACACCAGCAGCAATGCCAGAGACTGGTGAGAAGCCATCCTCCTGAAACAGGTATCTATCAACTGGCAGAGGCAGTGCCAGTGTGGATCTAAGTACTCTCATCATGGCAATGCCTTGCTCTCAACTGCAGGTGAAAAAAAGTTCAACAAGAGGTGGCAGTGGAATAGTTTACTTCTGCCTTCCCTTTTCAATACTTCCTCTGTAAACTCACCACTTTTTATTCACAACTGAAGATTCTTTAATATCATTACTAAGCACATGAAAACTGCTAAAAGTTGCCCTTGGGTGTTTGCAGCTATACAGCTGCTGCACTGACAGCAGCTCAACCAAAATGACCCGACCTCAGTGACTCTCTAGGGAATTGCAGTTAAACCCTTCTTTACCAATGACTCAGCAGCTGGAGGCAAAAGCTCAGAAGAAAAAACACACAGCATCCTTTACATACTTAAGAACATGGATCATGTTTTCCCTCTTGCTTGGGAACATCTGAGTTGCAAACAAAAAAGACTGCAGAAAAGATGAAAACAACCAATAGGAAATGATCAGGAGCACCACTAAACGCATGGCACACCCTGTAGCAGCAGACAGGGCTTTCTTTGGCACAGTGACTGCTTGTCACTGTGCAGATCTCTTGGAAGCTATGGATTGCTAGTCATATAACAGGCATAAAAGAAAAACAGGAAAGGAATTATAACTCCAAAACACGAGGACAATGGCAAAACACTCGACGCAAACACAGCAGGTGGCAGCAAGCTCTCTTTTTACTGTTCTCGTTCTTCTGCTCAATTCGACCAAGAAAACTTTTCAGACATGTGGCGCGTACACATGCACAGATGTGACATGAGAACCCCTTCTAACATATTGCTTCCTCTCAACACCTGTACTTAACTGTAGGTTGTAGCAATTTCAGAAGAAACATTCATCTGTTCAGCACACTTTGCTAGTATCTAGTGCTGTAAGAATTAATTCAAAGAAAAGGCAATGTTTGATGACAAGGAAACATTGATACAGGAGGAAAAAGACAAAAAACAGAAATTCTACCTTGCACACAAGAGATGGTTCATTTTCTGGGCCAACTGTATAAAGTTCAGTGCCTACAACATGGCTACATTTAAGTAGGTCTAGGACAGTTATTTTACACATACACCTTTGCTCTTACACCACTCTCCTTTCGCATACAATTTGTGTGTTTCTTTTTAAAATTGGAGGCCAAAAATTCCCTGACCCCACTGCTTTTCTCACATAGATGTTAAAGTGGAATCAGAAAGCTTTCTACTGAGCTTGTCGGCATGACGCATTTTCAGCTTACAGTTGCTCTTGGCGTATTTGCATCTGTTAGCAGAGCACAAAAGGAAAGGTCCTTTGTCAGGGTACAGCAAGAATTTTAGCTGCCATATGTTTTCCAAATTACAGCAACCACCAAGAATTCATTATTCAGCAGCCACTTCTCTATCCCTCAGTTCACTCCAGGATGACACATTATTCACACATGAGGATGACAAGTTCTAGTGTCAGGTCTATGAATTGAAAGAAATCATCAAAGGACCAAAGCAATCACCGTAACTATTGAGCAGCGGATGGATCCTGTGCTCAAAGCTCAGCTGGTTCTAAGCTGGGTGTGGATAAACGTTTGGCATTTTGATGGATGGGCAAAGCATGTAAGAGATCGCTGCCAAAAAGATGAACGTTTCAGAACAGGGGGTAAGCAACTGCTACTACACCGAGTCCTTTTTAAAAGGTCAGAGTTACCAAGGACATTAAATTATTAAGACTTTTCCCACATTAACAAGAAAGTACATGGATAAGAGAAAATTCGCTTGCTCTAAAAACAGCAGGCAATGAAATAACGCACAAAAAGCTCACACTGTTAAAGGCACATTCATTTGTCAAAACAAGCTTCTGCCTTTAAGGAAGTCAGTTACTTAACAATATCGAGAAAGATTTATTTCTCAGAAATAACAGATTCGCAAATAATACCACCTCCTGCTTCTAACAGCGCACACATACACACAGAATAAAGATGCTAACCAGCGTATGCAGAACACTGAAGTGTGTGTAAATGCTTTGCTCACAACTAACACAGGTGGCAGGGAGGACAGCATTAAGTGGGCGCCAGCTTTCATGACACACCTTCCACATTTATAAGGGAGGGGAGGAAGAAGACATTTAAATTTTTCAATATTTGCACCCACCACTTCCATCTTCTCCTCTTCCTTTTTCTCTTTCTCCTTCTCCTTTTCCTTCTTCTTGGCTTTTGCGGTGATGGACAGCACAGCAGTGGAAACCTGGATATGTCAACAGAGGAGGCATTCAGCATGACTGCAACACTGGACGCTCTGCTTCAGCTCCCCAAGCAGGGGAACAAAGGGAAATCAGTGTTAAGTCAGTTCTCAGTGCCAGTGCCAGTAAGATCAATTCCACTTCCTACCCACTGCTCTGTCTAAGAGACAAATACACCACCATCAAAGCAAATGGCACAGATGGGGGAAAAAAAAATGCCATGAACGCAGACTGGGTCCAGCCACATACGCAGAAGGAGAGTAAACTTCCTAATTTGGAGATTCATCATTACTGTCTGGGTCTTTATATGACAAGTTTGCTTATTTATTTTTAACAGAGCAACAAATGGAATTTTTTGTCACAGGAAAACCCGTTGTCAGTGTCTCCAAGGTAAAGAAACATGAATACAGATAGTCTTTAGAATGACCTAAAGCTGTTCCACTGTCCTAATCAGACAGCTGTGTTTCTCATTGATCTAAAGAAGCAGATAGGTAAATTGCCCTAGGGAGGAGGCCCTCAGGAGGCTTTGGCACTCCTGAGCCAAAAAGAACCCAGAAGCAACACTTAAATACAAGAATTCAGCGCATTTTCCCTCCAGTGAGCACATCTCTCTATCCACAGTAACTGTCTCTAAGGCAGTAACTTGCTCAGAGGGACAGGGAGCAACTCCATTTGTCACATTGCTGGTGAGGCTTTCTGGGCTACAGGTGGGCTCATGGCACATTTTAATTTTGGCCACAGAAGTTGAGGCTAGGAGGAAAGATTCGTCCAATTTCCATCCTATTCGAAAGGCGAGAAAGCGGCTATGAGCAGCGAGCTTTGCCTTTCATCAGAGTTCATTTCTCGGTTCCTCAGTGGCTCAGAAGCCTGTCCTGTGCAGCATTCAATTTTGGTAAAATGTTTTACAGTTTTCATTCATCAGCATGACATGCCTGAAGTCTCCGCTGCTGCGATTGCTCCCCAAGGGCTGCTCTGCCTGCTGCTGTGCTCTGCTCAACAGCTTTTACCATCTCATGCCAGGAGACAAATTGCTTCCGCTATTGTCCCGCTTGTCATCCCACAGGTCTCATCTCTTCCTTTTCAATACCTAGATATTCTCAGTTCCACACTTACCTTTTGGCAGTCCTTGGGCCTGAGAGCTATTACTCCAGCACACGGGTCCACTGCCCTGCACCCAGCTACACTTCCACATGGGACTACTTGAGAAGTGTCGCACCTAATACTCTCAATGTTTGTACCGCAGTAGCATTTTGAATCCCAAGTTATGAACAAGGACTCCATTGTGCTAGGTGCTGCACAAAGACGATACACATACAAACCAGTAGGACATGGAAAACAGTTTTATTAATCAATGTTTCTGCTTGATCACTGGGGACAAGGGAGGTTCCAGAGACTCAGTAGCACAGCAGTTGTATGCCATGATCAGCAACAGTCCCAGGCGCAGCAGGAAAAAATAGCTAGAATTCTCTTTCAGAGACAATAGTGCCTGCCAATTTTTCTTTTGCTCTTTAGATTCCCTGTTAGTGCCACGAAAGTCAATGTTTATACTAGGAGGGAGAAGGGGTTAGTCTTTACAATACAGAAAGCTATCCCAAATACCTTTTCTTTCTCCTTTTCCTTTGGTACCTCAAGAGGTGGGGGGTAGGCAAATGTGGACGGCTTACAGTTGGACTTGTACTGGACTTTTGGCATCTAAGACAAATGGTTAAAAAAATTGTTAGGGACAAGAAAAGCAGGGGAAAAAAGAATCCACAGCAAAATAATTACTTTAGCTTCATTTTCCTTCCAACAGAGACAAACACAGATCCTCTAAAGAATACAAGCTTCCCCTTCTCCCTCTCCGGAAGCTGAGAAACTGTTATCAGTGGCAACAGTTCAACTAGAACAATGTTATTTAATTATTCTATAATTCGACTCTGGCAAGCTCTCCTAGACTTCTCCGTACACTCCACGCTATTCACACCATGCTTTGTTTTCATTGTTTCAAAGCTTTTCTGGTTTTGATGTTGTTGCTGTGCCTGCTCATATTAACACAAAATTGGTTTAAGATCCAAGTGAAGATCTCCTCTGTCAATGCATGCTAGGGCAAACCAAGCACTGCCTGACATCCACCTCTTGCAAAAGGACAGTACATTTTGGGGGTGGACTACCAATTTCACATATTCTCTTACTCTTGGCTACTTAAACAAGGGCAGAAAGCATCTTTTGACAGCGAATCCAAATCTTTAAACTGAATTAATTTCTGCAACATCTCAACTCTCTTCCTTTACGACAAAAGAGAACAGGGACTGTTCTGAGGAAGCAAAGTGGGTGTGGTGCAGCCTGTAACATACATCCAGCTTGCAGGTGGCTTTAGTAAGCCAAGTTATACAACATAACCTGACCTACAGCTGTTTGAGCTCCCTAGAAACTCTAAGAGATGGGAAGAGAGAGACAAAATGACAGTACAGCCAAGCAGGCAAAAAGGTGCCAAGCCTACCACCACAGGGGAGGCGCAGAGACAAGCAGCAATGCAGCCTCTGTGAAGTGTTCAGGATAGAGAGGAAAAAAACCTAAACATAAGGCACTTTCATGCAAACTCGTCTCTTCAAACAGAGCAAGAGTTTTGAGCTGTGTGTAGACCGACTCAATGCTCAGCCCGAGACAGGTGGAGAACAGCAAGCTAAAGCCAGAAGGTTTTGGTTCAGGGGCTGCAATCCAGCAAGCTGGTTCTGTCCCACACGGGGACTCTGATTGCAGCTCAGACCCATGTACGCTCTGTGCACCACAGAATGAGCCTGCAGCAATGAGAGGAGGGGACTGCACACCTCTGCGCTGCCACAGTCAGAAGGTTTTTTGTTGAAATTACTAGCTCAGTTCTTCAGGACAGGAGACCCAGCACGGTAGGCAGCTTGCAGGGGCCGTACCACAACTGATCAGCTGGAAGAAGACATGCACAAGAAAAGTGCAGTACCCATGGCTGCTTGGTTTAATGTCTACTCCCCAAGGAACCCAAAAAAAAAAAAAATCCTGTTTTCCCACTGCTAGCTTTTCTAAGGGAAAAATATCACATAATTTATTTGGGAGGGCAAGGAGGTGACACACTATTTTTAAAAAAAAATTAACCTTGATCTTTTAAAAATAAGCTTTTAAAAATAACCACTCCTATTATCTGGAGTGATAGTAGGGTGGTCTCTGCCCACATATACTGATGAGAGTTCCCTTCTTTGTAAGCTACTTTGAAGCAAAGAGGTCAAAGTCTGCTCTCTACATTCTTCTTGTCCCTGTTCCCACCACCAGCTCTGCAATTTAAGCCTGCTTTTCAGACTTCTTCCAGTTAGCGCCTTTTCTGGCACAAACAAGCTGTGACATGCAAAGAAAAACAAGAAATCCATGTACACCCCTCCTAGACCACTCAAGTCTTCCAAACAGCTATCAACATCTCTTCTCCTCTCTGCTCGTTACATACCTTAAGGTCCTTGTTAAGGCCAATGACACAGGTTGGGGTGAAAGCCAGTGACAAGAAGTGTGACAGGGGAAACCAGAACCAGAACTGGGTGAAGACCAGAACCCCCACAACAGAAGGCATGTGAGTGTGTCCTGTCCTTGACTGCAGCGAAATGGTTACGTTATGGCCCCCTGTAAGGAATCATAGATTAAGTTAGTTAATGCGTTCCTGGGTACGCCACGAAGACACCTGAGCAACGCACCTCTAAATCAGCTGCTGTGAAGAGGGGTACAGAGCACAAGCCACGCTACAATGTTGTCAGCTTTCTCCTCTGGAATACACCTCCCTCCTTCACTGTGATCTCAGCTTACACAGCAAAACAGACCGGCAGTGTAACAACCAAACTGCTCTATTTGCGAGATATCACCCAAACACAATCAACGAATGCAGCCCTTCCACGCTCGTTTTGCCAGGACACGGGTTAAACGGAAGTACAATGCAGAAGGCAGGGATAGGGGGAGAAAAAGGCAAACCTTTGCCATAAGCAGTTTTAAAACATAGCATATAGATGATGCACAAGACAAAACTCACAAGGAAAACCATACATATGGAGCAGTGCATACAGAAACTTTTCTTTCTGTGGCTGCCTCCCTGAACTGTCAGTTATTTGGAAGAAATATGCCTAGGTTTTCATCCTGCACCATCTCAGTAGAAAAAAATGTAAACAGTAGCAACTTCAGAATTTGCTTCTAGAGGTTATCAATCTAAGCAGCAAAGAGACAAGCTCCTGCAGACTTTGCAGCAAAATTACATCTCTGCCAGACAACCAAGCGTTAGCTTTGTACTTGCAGAGACCAAAACAACTCCATATGTTGATGTAGTGCAGAAACATCCAGCTAGAAACCAAATTGAAAGATTGGGCTTGCAGACAGAGTGAGAAAGTATTAATCTGATCTTCAGTCTTCTGATGAACACAATGAACTGAGTTCAAGAGGGCACCAGGCAAGTCCATTACCGCTGACAAGACCAGGTGCAGGGAGGTTAACTTCATTAAGACACAAACGTCCCCTCGTTGCAAAGTCAGGGTTCTTTATAGCTGAAAATCCCAAAGCGGAGTGGCATTCCCCTGCCTCGCACAAACAGCCACCTCCACGGGGCCAGGGAGCGATGGAGCTATCTGAGTTTTAAAGACAAACAAAATTAATTTTTGCTGCCAAACTAACGAAAGCCCTGAATGAAGCAGCAACTTCATCTTAGGTATCTGTCAGTGTCAGTCCCTGGAGAAGCAGTGGAAGATGGAGGATTCTGATGCCCTCCTGTAGGATACTCTGCACACATACCACCTCTTTGCTTTTCCTTTTGCGGTAGCAATAGATCTCCTGCTGTTTGACTGGAGAACTCCTTCCAGGGCCTCTTTGAAGAAAGGCAATGATACGGCCTCATCTTTTAGTACTGCTAGGTCTGCTCTGCTTCTCACTTTTTTCTCCCATATCAGTCTCACCCTTATACTTGAATTTGCCACAGCGTTAGGGAGGGACTGCCTGAGGTCTTGTGCTATCCTTAAATATATCAAACACTGCACACTCAAATTCCTGGTCTTCCTCCCCATTTTTACTTTGAGCTTTTCTTCACTGCATCACTGTGTAAAGGCCAGGTCAGTAATCTGCAGATATTCTGGATCACGCAGCCCAGTGAATGTTGCACAAGCATCTTCACTAGACTTTATCAAACTTTTGAACTTTAATTTTCAGAATTTATGTTAACCTTTAGAATTATATTATCCAATCTCTGGAATTTCCTGGATGAGTAACAGATTTCATATTAAAAAGATGCTGTCATGCTACTTCTGCTGTTCTACACCCACATGCAGCTGACCCTCACTCCCAAGGTTTTGCAGGGAGCAGGAAAGGTGGGGATACATGATATTGCACAACTGTGATTTATCTTCATGATTAAGTAGCAGCCCTGACAACATGGAAAGGAACACATTCCAGATCTTTGGCTTGACGGATGAAAGCTGTGACGTGATGCTTGGAAAAACAAAATTTCAAAAAGCACAAAAGAAAAATTTTCAGAGCTCCTTGTGTAGTACTACAAGGTCCATCTCCCAGAATTCACACTGCCACTGTGGCAAGGTTTGCTGGAATTAATGTGGCTGTTGTAAAGGCTATGAGGATTTGCTGGCTCAAGTTTAATGTCAGTTAACAAGAGGGAGAGTGCAGCAAGCAGACATCAGTGATCTATATACTTTCATGAACTCACTCTTTACATGGTCGTGGTGGCACTCGGTAATACTCTGGCAGCGTAGCCCAGGACAACACACCAGCACAACAACCATTAGGTAAAGATGCTTTGGGGATCTTGGAAATTAGTTTCCAACTCTGGCCTACGTGGCATCCCATTTTCAAACAATATCATACTGTTTCAAAAGACTTATAATCTGCTTCATCTATGCAGTGAACGGAGATGACCTGAACTCTTAGCAGCACAGAAAAGGCAAAATCTCACAGGATGAGCCATCAAAACCCCAGCAGAGTTGATTTCAGCATATGTCAGTGACCTGATTCACATAGGCAATGAAACACAAGGTAGCTCTAATCTAATGGACAAAAACATTAGCAGAGGATAATGACTTTTTTCCTAACTACTGAATTGACCATTGTTGTATACACATTCCGAATGTAACTCAAGATGTAGAACATGACTTAGACTTACTAGAGAAAGTGGAAGAAAGCACTCAAGAACTTCAGCAGAACATGCAAGAGAGTTGGATAGACAAATTTTTTAATGGATTAAGATGGAATTTGAGTTCTTGGGTAAAATCACTAACTAGCACTGCAATTGTCTTGTTAATAATCTTTTTGGCAATTATTTTGATTTATTATTGTTTGAAAAGACAAATAAATAACAAGACTGCATTTAATCGGATGATTATCCAGGCAGTGGCCAGACAGCAGGATGAAACAGAAACAATCCCAAGGCTCCCACCAGCATATAGTGAATGAAGTACTAATAATGTACTACAGAGAATATTCAACTTCTAGCATTAAGATGAAAGCATTGAAATGATTTTCAAAACTTTTAAAGGGGAGAAATGTTACAAAACTTTGACAAAATAATCAAGATTTAATCAGGTAGAAAAGTTAGATAGAAAACTGAAAAGCAAAATGTAGAAGTTGGAATTGTTAAGTTTAATAAGTAACTATAGAGACCTCACTAGGAAATTACTGGATCTTTCTATGTATTGTTTTAAACCAAGGAACCATGGATACCTCATCATCCAGCTACTGTATTTTTCTATGGTTTGTTTTAAGAAACTAAGGAAACCATCACGGACACCAGTTATGCTGCTTAGAAACCCCCTTGCCCCCTCCTATCTTGATTTGAATATCAAGGATTCTAATTAGCAAAACTAAGTAGAATTAACCAATGAATGTTATAGAATAAGAATATTGATATAGCTAGCAAAACCAATCACTTTAAAGGTCAAATTTAAGAGCGAGAATAATATGCAATTTTATGTAAAAGAACTTTTGTAATGATGATTCAACAAAATGAGTGTATAAAAACCTATGGATTTTGATGCTGAGGTGGACACGCTTGGATGGAGCTATCCCTGTGTCCCCCAGTGCTGGAATAAAGGAGTGCCTGTTCATCTACCTAGTGTAGATGAATTTTCTTCCTGGCTGCTAACAGTTTTGCTAACACTACCAGAGAGTTAGACCCAGCTTTACATGAAGAGCTCATGAACAGGGACAGGCAGGAGAAAGGTGGGAAACGGTAGCACTGAATTCAACACGTGGGAGAGCAGACCTTATGCATCAAAGTTTATTTTCTGTACTAACGTCTTTAACATCCAAAATATAACACATCATGCAAGATGCATATTTGGAGAGACAGCAATGAGAAGATAGGCAACTCTCTCCTCTGTAATTTGGATGACATCTTCTTTTTCATCACTCATCACAAACATCTCCAAACTGTGGAGAATCCAGTACATTCACCATGAGGCTGTCAACAGCTTCTTTGGCTTCAGCCTGCACTGCCCAATGCTACACTCTGTCCCCAACCCATTGACCCCACCCAAACCTTTCCTAAATATGGAGAAAATAGTTTTCCAGATATACTACATAGATATTTGTGTGACGACTGCTGCTCCTTCTTTTTTCTCACTGATTGGGAAATGTGGCATTAAGAACCAGAGAACATACCTAGAGTTCAAAGGGCAAAACAGTTTTCAAGCAGGTAAAATGCTGACATCTAATTAGATCAGTATATCCCTTTTGTAGCTCACATTTACAAACACATACTCCAGAAAATAAAGTATATTGATGTTGCAAAGAAGAGAGAGAGAGTCATAAGGCTGGAACAAGAGAGCATGTTTGTACATGAAGGGGAGCATTATAAAAGTTCAGAGGATTTTTTTGGGAAAAAAAATCCCTAAGTTTAAATTTAAAGTGTCTACGTTTTTCTTATTTTATTGAAGAAGTAAAAATGTAGCTGCTGGGACCTAACAATTAGACAATGACCAAATTCTTCATTTCTGCTTCAGCACTCCCAAGGTACCCTGCTCCTTACATGAAACCACCATTCTACTAATTGCCCCATTGTCAGGGCAAAAAACCTGCCTCCAGTGCATCATTTCCCAGTCACGCACTGGAAATCTTATGCTTTTCACAAAGCCTGTCATTGGAAGAGAATTATTGTAGTGGGTTTTTGTGCCTAAACCACGACAATCATACTTTTCTCCCCCTCCCCTCAAAAAAACCAACAAAAAACTAAGAAAAAAAAACTCTAACTCAATTGCCCCAACCGTGGCAGATGACACAAAGACCCTTTTCTTCCTGGTAGCGATAATTAAATTCTATAGCTCATTGTTTCATAAAAGCACTTGAGAGATAAAAAGGATTTATTCTTTTAAGAGACTCTAAGGAAAGTGGCAATAGGTTAAGAAAGGGTAGTTGTCAGCCTTCCCCCAGCCACTCAGAAAGAAATAAATGAGGTTAAAGTTGGCACAAATTCATGTCGTTTATTACAATTGGATGTTTCTGGTTTCCAAGTCATTATACAATACATGAGTGACACAGGAAGCAAATAAGGTTTTAGCTGCATTTTTATGATTTAATCTTAAAGGTTGGAATTTGAAGCAGGTCTGTACTGCTGAGAGAAAAATCTCTGAGCCAGCTGGGCTCTGGCTTCCCAGCAACACACACTGTGAGCATGGGATTGACCAAATTATTCTAACAGTCTTGTGCCAAGACTGGCTCAGCCTGAGCTCCAGGAGGGGTACCTGGGAGGCAAGTAAGATAAAGAAGGTGGTTCCTGTTGCTTTCTTCCCAGTAGCCTGTGGCACAGAGCACAGAGGAGCCTGACTGCCTCACACTCACCAGGAAGAGAGCTTTTTAAGCAGGTTTCCATGCACAGAGGTGCAGGCAGCCCTAAGTTTTTCTTCTCCCACCACATGGCTTAGAGATGTAGTAATTTCACACAGACACTGTGTGACCACAGTGCACGGTGCTGTGCTTAATCCGTACCACAGAGACAAATATGTGAGACTCCTTTGCTTTTCTGACTTCAGGACTAACCTTGATCTCAGAGTACAGGGAAAACCAGCTTGTTTCTACCTACCACAAGGAGTAAAAGGAGGTGCATAGCAAGAAAGGAGAGATCAGATGGGAGAAATCGTTTGGAAACTTGGAAAGGGGGTGCTTTTGACCCACACAGCACTATACAAGTCTTAACTCCAGCAGAAGGACAGATTCAAAGCATTGACTGTCCTCTTTGCTTACAGAATCCTTCCTTAACAGGCCCTGCAATTCAACCCTTGTGAAATGCTAATGCCTTTAGAGGATCCTATCCCTGGGTCAACATTTAGTCATTAACACTCATTTAATGACATTTCCTCTCTAGAAAAAGGTTATAGTCTGTGAAACTGACTGGGTCTTCTGAAGTAACACTGACGCAGTTAACTATGCCTCCCTCTTTGTGCAACGCCTCTCAATAAAAATCAGGAAAGAGGCAAAACTTACTTATTAAAAACATATATAGTATACTTTAAATTGGTTATGTCATGTTTTAACAGAGAAGGCAAAATATAAGGACTGGATACCACAAAGTTTCCAAATTTCTGGAGCAGGTGCTTACTTATAAAAATAACTTATAAAAATAAAGAAGCAACTGATCGTGCTATAAATCAACATTCTGGGTGACAAAACAGACTTGGAGCAAAAAGATCATATTTGTTCAGACTTCTGAATATGAATTCTGCCCCAATGACTGGATTGAGTCTCTCCGAACAGACGCATGCTGATACAGGCTGAAACTACAAAACAGCATTTATTTCTTTAATTAGCTACAATGACTTGAAATTTGAAATTTCTCGCTACTGTTACACAACAAGCATAAAGCCAGCAAATTTCTTTTGAGAGATGAGGTGCTATTACAGCTATCGTAGCCAAACAAGTTTAAGAAATTTTGACTGCTTTGAATGTTTGGGGAATTACCTGCATCCAAAATGCCTTGTGCCAGGATTGCTCCAAACTTTGCCATAACATCATCATGCTTATCATTGATCACTTTGGAATAGAGCTGTCTGAACTGGCTGACCTGGATTAAAAAAAAAAAAAAAAAAGAGAGAGAGATATTATAAAACTGACTGCATGAGTCAAATATTCTGCCTTTAATGGAAGCATCCTGGATTTCTGCATCCTGGGACAACATTTGTCTTTTCGACAGCTTTAGTCACTAGTGTTACAAGTCATCCCACTAATAATTAATTACAGAGTTTTTCCCTACTTGAAAATACCCATATAGTGATTTTAAAATAGTCAGGATGGACATACATTTCCAAACCACGTTTTGCAGGCCTTACAGGAATAGCCTTAGAATCTCTGGAGTGTCACTGGAATAAAAGACCAACTGATGAGTTTGTAGCAAGAACTATTATATGTTCTTAGGTGCGTGACACTGCACTTATTAAATTTCCTCCAATTCTGACTGCTGAAAACCTCAAACCTATTCCGTTTTTCCTGTACAATATTTCTGCTGTATTGATAATGCCCCTATGGTGCGTCACCAGCAAATTTTGCTACTGCACTCCTACCTTTTAAGTGAAAACTGTTAATGAAAATATTTAATAAAGTAACAGTTTATGCCATGGTATGTTCACCATAATACCTTAAACACACAATAGTACGGGAAATTGCTAAATCTTTGCTTATGTTATCGTCATTGCTTCGAACAGCTCCATCTTTCACTGGTTCACTAAGTGTTGAAGAGACAGAACAGTATCATACCTAGCAGTTTCTAAGGCTTTGTCACAAATTAACAACTTATATCTTCTAATATATACAGTGGGGCAACAATGCAGCTCAAGTCACTTTTACAGCTGAAAAAGCAGACCAAGAAATCCCAATCTGCAACCTACTCAAAACCTGGGAAGCTGCATTCCCTCCACCGCATGTCTAGAAGAATCTTTTATACCTCTTCCCTAAACTAATTTTAATCCAGATATCCGTGTGACATTTTGTTTTTCTTTTTTTTGTTTTCATACTAAGCCTTCACTTAACATGTTCAAAAGTGAAGGTCTTTTCAAAAAGGCTCCTTCCAAGATGTCTTGAACAAGCTTCTCCCCACTACTGGTTGACTTTGTTAGTGGTATTCCAAGTCCTTTTCCTACATCTGCAGCCACAGATGAGAGGACAAACTTGTAGCTCCAGCAGTAGGGTCAGACGCAGTCACCAGAGACACAGAGCAGTTCCCAGTATTGCAAACGCGGTTAAAGTTTGCAAGTATAAAACCCTAATACCAGACAAACCCCTAGTCACTTTTCACATTCAAAGAGCACATGCCTCTCCAGGGACACCAGGGACATTTGCTCAGTGACGAGCATCTGAAGAAAGATCCTACCTCTCAGCTGTGAAACACACCTAAGAGTCTTTTGTGGGCAAAGGGGCAAAACTTCAACACCACCATTAGGAACGCACTCTTGCACAGCCCCTGATGCTCCCAGTGCCTCACTGTACCAGTGTAGGAGACTTAACCACTGAATACGACACGCAGGAGGTCCTTCTGGCTGATAACAGCACCCAGTACCCCATCCATGCAGGACGTCACAAGCTCCAGAGCTGTGCTAAGGGTGGGCTGCACTGAGCACCAGGAGCAGCCCTCAGGCATCACTCCTGGCACATGTGGCCTGTCTTGGAGTGCACTGGGGAATCTCAAAGCACTTACAGAGAGTTTTCACACCCAGGAAAAAACAACCATTCATACAACTGAGTCAGTGACATGAGAACTGTGCTGGGAATAACATTTTGTTAAACTAGGATTCAACAGGGTAAAAAAAAAAAATAAAATAAAGATCAAAACTGAATGAAGAGCTGACTGAGGGGATAAATCAAACTGCAGGGATTTCTCAGCAAAGCATGAGATCAGATTCCCCAGTAAAAGCACATCAGAGCCATGAGGTAATCCTGCAGTCTCTGTAATACTAGCAATAAATTTCACCACATTTCAAGTGAATTTTTGACCAGAGGCAGTAAGAAGTTGAGACTCTACCTTTGAGAGATTACGTCCAATGTCTGGGATGGAAAGAAGACAGAGGCTGTCTCTCCAACCCACAAGCATTATACTCAAGAGCTGCAACGCTGCTTGGCAGCCCTACACGCTTAGCGAACACTTCAGATTAAGACTGCATGTTTTCTGCAAATAGTTTTTGATGCACGTTAACTCATCACATTGCTTAAAACACAGGTGCCCTAAAGGAACAAGCACTCTCTGGTCGATACCTTTTCTGCCTTCGCTGTTTTGGCCACTAACCCAGCAGTACTACTTGTCACCTCAACTCCTTCAGCACTGATGGCATCTAACCTAATGAGATTTAAACCAGTCTGTGACAGCAGAAGACACATTCATACGAGTAAATCATGACCTGCTAACCAAGGCTGTATTAAAATTACGTTATTTGTTTCACCCAAATGGACAGTCTCACAACCGTGAAGCACCAGAGCAGCCAGCCACTTCTGCACGGAGGCAGCGAAGCTGAACAAAACAATACTTCTCTGGTAGAGCAGGAAGCATTTATTAAAACTGACAGGGGAAAAAACAGCAGTTATTTCCATTTTTCAGTCTAAGTAAGTCCAACAATTTGCGTGCTAATATTAGTTCTCTATTCACCAATTCTCCTTTGCATTAAAAAGTTTTTAGTTCCTAGTCCCTGTCCCCAAAAGGAGGTGACAAATTTCCTTGCGTTTATTAAAGCTAAGAAAAAGGAGCAACGTGCATTTTCAGGGCAGCCACACAGACAGATGTGTGGCAGGGAGATACTGCACACACAATACGGGGTTTGTTCTAGATATACTGAGCAAACTCTGCTCTTATTTCACTCCATTTATGGTTTTTCACGCTCTCCCAATTTTTATTTATAAAAGCTTACACTGAGGTTTACACATTTAATATAAATACTTTGTTTCTTACGCCTGACCTCTTGTACACTGGAAAAATACCTTAGTTTGCATTTGCAACCTGGATCGGGGCCTCGTGCAGTATCAAGGGCAACCACAGGCAGACTAGGTGAACCAAAGCCTTCAGATATTATTTGGGACAGCGACACAGAAACAGCACGCACAACTATTCCTCTGGTTGAGCTGAGCAGTAGGATTCTAGTGCCTCTGTTTAGAGCACATCATTCCTGTAACTCTGGGCTCAGCTTCTGGGTTTGGAATATTTATAAAAACAGATAGATGTTACAAAGCTTGTTTGGTGGACTGTAATCTGGAATTTACACCATAATCAAATCTCCAGAGAACAAAACCTTGGGTGAAGCTAGAAGATATTCAGCAGAACTGCTAATGTTCACACTGGCATCTGAAATCTGATGGAGCAGCACCTCGGAAGAGAGGGCAGAAACACCTCACTGGGGAAAGGCAAGGCAGGGCTAGCATGGGAGGTCATCCATCTCTTCTGTTTATGGCACAATGCCCCTGTGAGCACCCTTTCCCTAACATGCCTTCCACAGCCACTCACACATATGTTAGTCCAGAGCAGGAGAACAAAACACTGGGGCAACAAGCTCACTAAGAACTTGCCAGCTGTGACACCAGAAGACCAGGCGGGGCAGTGAGCTAACCAGGAGACCGACAACTGCAAGGGACCAAGGGTCAGAAACCTGGCTGCTAAACCTGAGCAGATCTATTGCCACCTCTCCAGACGACACGGACAGGTTACAGCAGGGAATCAGCTGACAGCAGGTGCTCAGTGCTCCGTGAACAAGTGCTGAACAGTTACACTAAGAAACAGTCCCTATACCCTCTACTTATACAAAATATAGAGTGCCCTATCAAGAGCGTTCCGTTTTCAGATAAATTCTGCATACCTGTGCATCATGAGCCGCGGACCACTGCCAACCCTGAAAAACATATTGAGCAAGCATGCCCTTTCCAGAGTTTTACTTTAACATCAGTGAAAGCAAAATTGTTCTGTGAAAGGGTGGGTGACTACCCTGCCTGGCCTTAGGGACCAGGCAAACTGAGACTGAAGCACTGCCTCAGCACTTGATGCACAGTACTTATTTCAGGCTGCTTATTTCAAATGCTTCACAGGAAGGGGATTTCTGACTGGATCAGGTCCCAGCTGAAAACTTTCCTTGCTGCTGAGCAAAACCTGCTTTGGCAGCTCTAGCTGTAGCGGGTCAGGAAGTTATCATCCTCACATGGAGTCATTGCTCCATGTCTTTGGAGACAGCAAGAGTGGTACAGACAAAATCTCAGTTCTGCCTTTGCTGTCTAGGCACTCATCTCCTACAGAATGGAGCAAGATGTCAACGGACAGTAATTTCTTCAGCTGTTGAAGCAAAATCTGCCGGAGTTTGTCTAGCAGAGCCCAGTAACCTGCTACCACTTTTCCTTCAAATCACAGCAACAAATGCATCCCAAACTACTGAATAGGCTTATTTAATGTGCTGTGAAACCCACAAGCTCTGTTTCTCCCTTGAAATCTTCAAGCACTTTACAAATTTTATAGTATTTAGAAATGCTATGAAGAAATTTATTTGGGCAACTTCCAGGAGGAACACTAAAACGTAGGCAGTGACTCATTTCATCTTTGCTAACAACACACACACACCATTCTGATAATTAGTGCTGGCCAAAACGACATGCCACTGATTTCAAATGAAGCCAAATGTGCAACCTTGGAAACACTGAGGAAACAACACAGGCTTTAAGACATGAGAAGGATACAGAGCATCATTTCCTATGACAAACCCAAGGGGCTGTCATGTTGTTTACCATTAGCTATTGTTTACCACTTCTCCCTCCACCAGTCAACATTCATGCATATGAAGCCTATGAGATTGTTAAAAATAAGACTTGGTGAAATGTTACGTATTGAAACAGTGGCAGATGATGTTCATGATGCTTTTTGCAAATGCAGGTTCTTAAGATCAAGAGTATTTAGGAATCTATTTTTAATAAAACAGGTTTAAAACTGTTTGCATGTTCTATCTATCTTCATCAGAAAGTTGAAGCTATTCTGCATACCTCTGCTCTCTTGAAAGAGCACACAGTATGCAGAAGCATCTAACAGTAACAGGCTTACATGAAGGAATGTGAAGGTGCTAGTAGAATATGGCAAAATTCATTCTTGCATCCTAGCATTTCATCTAAATGGAGGGCAGGGGGAAGAGCAATCTGGTCCTGGTCTCTTCACTGCATCTTAAAGATAATAAGCCAAAATGATTGAAGGAGGATGGAGGAAAAGCCTTGACCTTGCTTATTATCTTTGCATTTTGCCAAGATGACTATCCTAACACAAAACCAGGAAAAAGTAAATTCAATTCAAGATGTTAGACTTGCAGTTTGTCTCCAAAATTGCTGTCTTAATTGCCTTGCAGGTCACAAACACATCATGAAGTTGTCATTGATTTCTGTTACAATGATCTCATCACATCTATAATTTAGGATTCCATTTCACAAAATAAACTCGTTATTGTTCCATATCCTGCACTAATATAGTTCTTAAATGTAACAACAGAGGTCAGGAAAAATCATGGTGGCTGCACATCGAGGAATTGTGTTTCAACTCCAAAGAGGCCAGATCAGCTTTACACAAGATTTGCTACCCCTTTTGGCACTTAAGCAACTTGCAAGTTCAAGGGACCTCCATATAATGACAATTCTCTATTTAAACTCTTTATTTTTTAAACTCTTTAAATTATTTGTTTCAATAAAGAATGAGCATAACAAAGAGGAAGATGAATACAAAGGAAGGAGGACAGCAAAGGTGATTCAAAGGCATACATCTACATCATCTCACAACAAAAATGATTCCTTTTAAAACAAAATACTTTGATTCTTAAATCTCTGTTTATTACTGGCATTTCAGCATTGCAACACTCAGCTCTCAAAACTCTGAAGTTATTTTATTTATGAAAAATCTAAATCTATTCACGGAAGATTGTTTGCTACCATCTCTTTCCATCCTGAATTCTCACCAGAGAATTTAAAGTCCTTCTAACCTAAAGCTCACAAGCAAGAAGTTTAAAAAGAAATAATAAAAGAATCCCAGAACAAACAAAACTGAAAAGTAATGACAGGAAGCTGGTCAGGCTATACGTCACAATCTTTATTAAAATCACCATCTCTCACACACAAAGCACCACAAAGTACTGAACAGCAGTGAGATGATCATATTTAAAATTTAGCTTCTCCATAACCCCATCAAGACCACACACCATACAGCTTGTGGGATAGGAAATCCATCATGCTCCTCTTACTAGTTGCTTATCCAGCAATGCAAATACTCACATATATCACGTTAGACGCTTTGGCACCCGGGTGCCACTTAAAAATCTAATCAAATCAAAACATGTCACTGTAATCCAAAAACAGCTGGTTTTCTGAACTTCGCCCTTTCACATCAGAGTAAAATATTTTTTCTTCAGACTGGCAGAGAGCTCCAAAAAAAGTTTCCCCATGGATAATAAGTAACTTAATTGCCACATATTCCTCCAAATATTCCTTTTTCTTTTAAGCAATAAACATGATGGTTATAACTAACTTTTGGGGTGTTCAAATCAAGTAAAATTTATGTATTCTGTGTTTAGTTCCTAAATCAGCAGAATATTTCAGGGATTATTTATTATTTTACAATCTGTAGGGTTTTGTTTGTTTGTTTTTTAATATCAGCAGTGCTTCTATGACTGGGTAATGAATTGCTTCTGTATCTACATTACATAACATCGCAAAAAATTTTAGCTCAAACAAGGCTCTGGCATAAAGCTTTTTCAGTTCCTCTCCCCATTTTTAAACCAGCCACTGAACCCCAGACTGTACATTTCATCCTGTATTTGCTAGCCAACTACTTTAATATCCCATTTAACAAGTCTAGGTATTACATGCACCTCTGAAGCCAAGGTTACCAGGCCTCTTTGGGGAAAGGGATCTGACTTACAGACCTCAGATAATCTGTATTTTTGCTAGCTATCTTCCTGTCTGCACTTTTCTTTAGGACACACAGACTCTTCCATCTATCATCTCAAAAAAACTGAAACTCCAAGAGAGACTCAGTAAGTAATTCACAACAGTCTCGAATGTCTGACTGACTCAGAACAGTCTGCAATTCCCATCCCAAAAGGATTAGGGTGCTTTGCAAACTAAAATGAATTTATTCTCATAATGTTCTTTCATGGAAGAAAGTATCATCCTTACTTCTTTCAGCTGGGAAACTGAAGCACAGGAGAGCTATACAACTTGCCCAACAGTAGAGGAGTGCAAAACAATTAAATCTGATCTCCTGTATTTGAGGGCTGGCATTCCAAGCATCTGACCAAGGAAGAAACAGTAAAAACAACAAGCAGTTTCTTTCCATGGAAAGATAATTCAACTTCGCAGTACAGAGACTTTGTATCTCGGACGATAAGGGGATCCAATAGAACTTTAATGTTCTCCACTGGCTTATCCAGTTGAACTACAATTCTGATAACATAGACAACGCTCCCAGATTCTGCTTAGTGAAAACTAACTGGTCTTTTTTTCTTTTTTTTTAATAATTCAAAGGAACAAACTGTCTGCCAGCAAATCTTCATGTTCCATGACTTGGAAATGCCCAAACACCTGTATTTGTAGATTTCCTTCGCTGACTTTCCCAAGTAAAATTTTCCACTGGAAAAAGAGGGTTTTTTTCTTTCTCCCTATCCAAATGCAGTAAAAAAGTGCCTGTTTTTATCACAGTTCAATTTCTAAAATAACATCGATAAAAGTAACCCATATATGACAGATGAGTAGCAAAGTACCAGCTACTGCTCTGCCTCAGCATTCACCACAGCAGATGACATGTGGAACCTCAGAGCTTCTATTAATGTGGACTTTTAGTCTGTACAAATGTTTGCATATCATCATCTGCCATATATTCACAGGGCAATCTATTTTTAAAGCTAAACACAGCACATGCAATCCTTTTTGCCTTCTGAGCAGAAAGAAAAACACCATTTAAAAAATGTATTTGCTATAAAGCCGCTAAGCCAGTTCTGACAGCAGACACTGTTTCACCTCAAAAGTGTAAGACTAGCTACAAAAGAAACATAGTTATAGCATGACTTCCCTGCAGGGTGATCACATCCAAAACTAAGTTTACTGTCATCAAAACCAACTTCTTTATTACACAACAGTGTTCACATAAACCATGAGCATACGAGCCTCAGCACGTGTGAGTGGACGACAGCCACTTTCGTATCATTACAAGACGCTTTTAGACCTTTTAAGAAAGAGCATTTATTCTTGTAACACCTAGAGTTAAAACGTTGTCATCTATCAGGCATGTTTGGATCATCAGCAGGCATCGTCCCCCGATTCCAAAGTGCACACTCTGACCCATGCAGGAGGTTCCCGCTGTGCATTCAGCTCTGGCTCTTTACAAGACACGTACACTCTCTCGCCAATCCGTACATGCAGTGCCAAGAACCAAAGATCTGGCATCCAAGAGCATTTTTCCCACCTAACAAGCCCATATGTAAGATATGCCACGTTACCTTTGGGCAGGTGATCTCAGTCTGCTGGATCATGATAAGGGCAGATGCAATCAGAGCCCCTTGACGTACGTAGTTCACAGGATCATTTGTCATTGGCTCAAGCAAATTAATTGCTTCCTAAAAAAAAAAATCAACAAGAAATCAGCAGTTGCAAAGTTAATACTATTATTTTTAGTACCCCAGGATTCAGTACTCTAATGGAAGGTTATCGGATTGATGCTATCAGATATACTTTTTAATATATTTTGCGTTCTTGATAAATAAAGCAGAAACCTGTATTTCTGTAGATTTTAATCTAAAAATTGGGAAGAAAAAAAACCACAAAAAACAAGTGATGGATGGAACACAATCTACGTGCAGAAATAGCCGAACAGATAAACAACAGTTGATGTAAGCAACTGATGCATTCATCACATTAGAACTACTGACATGCCTTAAATAGCACACATAAATTATTTGTACACTTTCTTTGCCATTCTTCCCAACAAAATACATTAGCAATACCTTCATTTTCTATATAAGGAACAAATGAACCAGAAATATCCAACAATACGTTGGAGGTCAGAAAATGAGATCGTAAAACAATCCAGGTGTCAAATTCCTGGCCTTACACTTCATTGTTAGAACCTGTACCATTTAGCATTACATGAAAGCACTCATTTCAAAACTACATCAAGTGGGGCTGCCTCTGAGACCCCAGATAGTAAATGTAGGTTTTTAAAACATTTTAAAACCTTCTACTCCTCTCTCAAATTCAGTAACTTCCCAGATAAGGGTAACAGGAACGTGATCCACAATGATCTATCAATAAGCATTCCTTTCAATGCAGTCATTGATTATGAAAAGCTATAAGAGAGTCTATCATAATAAATGCTGCCTAGATGTACACAAGACCAGCATGGGCAATTTGCAGGCATCTCAGACCAAATCATCTCTTTGGGCACGTTTTCTCATCTCCATTTACAGTTCCGTCCCTTTGCAAGGCATGACTTAAATATACACAGAATTACTACAGACACAAATTCATTTCTAACCATGCAAGGTCCTCAGCACACATTGCACAGGACAACTGAGCTCATCTAAACTCACGGCTTCCAAAAGGCGATCTCTCTCCTTCCTCAGTTTCCCTTCAGCTATCCAGTCCCTTCCCTTCCCCTGTGCTAGCTGCAGCCCTTGTCTCACCTCTCAGTGAGCTTTTCCAGCTCGATAATTCAACAGAGAACTGTGCCCTTTTTTGTTGTTGCTATCTGGGTCAGTTTTCTGTGAGTTTGTGTCTGAATCAGCTCGCAAGGGAGCTGCACATTAGACAGAGCAAAAGGTGGCAGGAGGGACCAAGATTTCTCGTTTCAACCACAGCAAGTTGTTAGTGGGCTCAGCCAGGCTTCACCAGCCACGATCTTCAGATACAAGCAGAATAAATCTAAGACAGCATTTGTACAGCCATGGGCTGCACATATAAATTTGGTCTGTGGCAACACAGAGGCTTTCTAAAAGCACTCTGAAATGGCATGTGAAGCAAGCTGTTAGACACTTTTTGGAATAGGAGAGGTAACAGTTAGACATCCACCCAAACAAGCTGAAAGAGCTCTTTTAATCTATTATGCGATCTTCTGACTGCAGAAGTCAGACAGAATCACTTGGCAATCTCTCATATGCAGCTCTCTCCTGTCCATACTCAAACTGAGAACAGGAGTAAATGCAGCTGAGTGTCCCAGCACAGACCCCTCTCGGAGTTACTTCTGCCATGGTGAGGGTTTTAATAACAAGCCGACTTTATACAGAACACTATTTCTAAGAAACGCTTCTAAAAGAATATCGTTCCTTTGCTTAGATTGCTTTTGCCAATTGAGCTATCTTGGAGGCTTTGCTTCTTCACCTGAAGGTGACTCATTCATTCTTTGGCACGCATTCAATACTATGTATGGAACATCCACTATGACAAAAAGCCGAACTTTCCAATCTCTAAAGTTGAATAAAATTGGGCCTTCAAAATTTACTAATATAAGCTGTGGAAAACAAATCTGAATGTAACGAGATGGTTTACGTCTTTATCACACAATGTATCGGGAAATAAACCAGACTTCTTTGTGCAACTAAAAGGATTTCCACTTAAATCAACTTGTCAGATGCAGCAGGTTAAAAATAATGAGCTCCTTGATTTTACCTTTCACTTGAGAATAGCAACCTGGATAAAAATAGGACTTCCAGTTTGCTTTCAAGTCTGCACGCTTTAGATACTACAGATGGCAAGCAGTGCCCGTCAGCATTCTGTGCATTTAACAACACAAGTGACATGCTGCGGAGCGCTCACTTGCAAGAGTCATGGACCAAGTGTTTAATATTAGCTAAGGAAAGGATCATACAGATAAGCATGAGATTTATCAAAGACTCAGAAGCATGAAGTATTACTTCCACATGGACCGTCTGTGAACCTGTTTTGAAACTGTAATTCAGTACCAGTACAGATTATAGACACATACAGGTGAAGCAGAAGCAGTTTATCCTCAAGTTTACTTGCTGCTTGTCCTAATAAGTACTCACTTCTCACAGCAGAACTGGGAATCCTTCTACTCTAAAAGGACCTTACTACCATCTGTGAAAATTATCCTTCACTGACACTTATGAAGTGAGAATAAAATCTACTGGCTGTGAATTACATGCCTGAAACCACAGTAAATTTCATTGCACTTGGCTTTACCACACGAATCTTCCATGAATTGTGTATCACAGGAAAGAAGAAAGGAGCTAGAAGTTATGCAAAAAACCTGCTGTTTTCCTGTCACTGGCACTCTCTTGTTTCCCCTAAAGCAATCTGTAAAAGATCAACTCCAAGGGCAGAGGAGTATTGATTCTGGAGTACTGAACATACATTTAAAGTTCAGTGGCAACTTGACAGTAAGAAAACTCTAAGAAAAGTTCTGAAGACAAAATTCCAAGAATGTGGCAATAACGTATAAAAACATTCTTCTACTTTTATCTATTCTGTACAAGCAGGAAAAGAATCTCTATGCCTAGGACAACTAAAGAATTTAAAGAAGTACTGCTCTACTCCAGCTGGCTAGCAATGTACATGTGCAAGAAATCTGATCTCTCTGTGTAACGTTTCCACACAAAAGTCTCTGGCAGGAGAGCAGAAACAGTCTTGGCAATGGATGCTTCTGGTCCTCACCTTGTTTCCAGTGCCCGCGCAGCAGATACCCAAAGCCATGGCAGCCCCATAACGCACATGGGGATTGTAGCTCTCTGACAGCAAAGAAACCACGCTCGGACACTGCTCAGGAGTCCTAAAGAGAAACAAACAAAAAAAAGAAGAATGTTACTATTATTATTATTATTGTTCTTCAAAATATGGAGACTCTGTTCATACTGGAAAATTTAAGACTGTCCTTCCACACAGTTTTGCATTTCTCAAGTAGTAACCAGAGGAGTGGAACAAACGGAGTAAGAGGAGAACGGGAAGTGCACAAATGAATAAACTGTCTTATCACTGCAGATACCACACACAGTTCCCTCTACTAAAGTCTTCCTTTTTAGTGCATACTTTTTGCCTCGAAAAGATTACCCAGCAGAATGACATCTCTATTGAGATTGAGGTCTTTATCTCTAGAAATCATGCTGCTGTGACAGACTTTCCACCAGCAGAGGTTTACTCTCCATGAGACACACACTACTAAATCTACCATCAGCAGACATAAAACTCAACCCCACAACTTTCAAGGTTGGTGGGTCCCAAACTTCCCTCCGCAGTCACTGCTTCTGCTGACTCTTCCTCACCCCCACCTACTGCTGTAAATCAAAGCATGTGAGGAAATGCTGATACAACACACACTTCCAATCAGTTTATCAGCGAAGTCTTCTGTTGCTTCCGTATATTATCATGCTGTGATGTTGCTGCATTTTAAGACATCTGAAATGGGAGTATACGTGCCATGCCTCACCAGCTGGGAACCAGTGTCTTGCTGGTCATTACAGCAACAGAACTTCTAGCCCAGCACTGAGGGAGATGAATGAAAACCCTTAATTTCCTACAGCAAGAAGCACGTGTTGCTAATGCAGTCTTGCGAATATTGAGTATTTCTGAAGTACGGCAGAACTCACACGTGTGGCTATACTCATTTCCCTCCTGTCTTTGTAGTCATATTTATCACTCCATTAATTTTGATGCCACGCAAACCACTTCATAACGTACACTGCCAGTTTCGGCAATTCTAATGCAGCAAAGGCAATATTATTTTTAAAATAAGCATCTCTGCATCAGACGAGTCTGCATTCTGAACTTACAGACATTGCAAGCACATCCATCACAGCTATTCTGTTATATTTACCCAATCTCATGACACCATGAACACAAGAGCGAT